ACATCTTTAACAGTATGCGATCACGAAATCGGAAGTCATTGGTTGCAAGTTTGTTGATAATGGAAAGGGACAAATTATGAAGAAATTGTTCTTCAAATGTTGAACGAGATCTGTTTCCAAATGAATTACCAATGTTCTGGATCGTCTTTTAAGTTCTTCTGTATTTTCCTTAGGGAAATTTTGCTTCTAAAAAAAGCGCTCTTCTCTACCAATGATTCTGATAGAACTAAATGAAAACTTAAAATATTAAAGCCTGAAAAGAAAGTCCCCACTAGAGGGCGTATTCAAGTGTTGCGATTGCAATTTTTTTTTCATACTCTGAACTTGGTTATTTAGCAATGGAGTAAAATTAAATATTCCTCTCTTGAATTAGTCTATGGGTTATCATAAAAAATATTCATTTATGGTGGCTACTTTATTTGGCTGTTTTCTGAGACTATCACCAAATATATCTATCTTATTAGCCCCTCTCCTAGTTTGAGCGTCAGTATTAGGTATAAAAAAATACATGTTTATCCAGAGAAAGTGCGTTTTTGCGTCCGATTTCGTAACTTAATTAATAGTTATCACTAATTAATTAGCATATTTGAAGTCACTCCCAGAAATTATTGAGATTGACATTTAGTACGTGAAAACCCGATCATTAGAACGAAAGTTATTCAGGGTGATATATTTTTTCCCTCACTGTACACTAATGCTTATCATATCATGCTCTCATTAACACTATTTTTACCAAGCAATGTCAAAAGACACTTAGCAAAATTTAACTTCAAATTATTTTTTAACCGTTTATCTAAAATCAATTGTTTGACATAATATACAAACAAAATTTAAAAAAAGGATTACTTTTACAACTTTTGAACTGTTTAGAATTTCATGCTGTAAAGTACTTTGGCAATATCCTAACGAAATCTCTCTAGAACTGTGACAGAATAAGTTTATTTTGTTGAAGGATTCATTACATTAAAATAATTATTTAACACTAGATTGCCCAAGGAAGTCATTTTGACTGCTTCTTAATTTCAATTAGAAAAATAATGACACAACTTTTGTGACTTTTTGTACAGCATATAATTTTTTTTATTGTTAATATTTACTAATTTGTAATATAACTGAAAATAATATCAAAAATATTTAAAATTAATTTTATACAAATTTTCTTATACATTAGTAATTCTTTCACAATTTGACTGCTTTTGGGCAATATAGGTATTTCAGTCTTTCTAGTGTTAAATAGGGTGAATATTGATGTTAAATAGGGTGAACTTTGAGTTAAAATATAATATGGTGAATGAAGTTCCATTATTCATTGTAAGATATTTAATAAAAAATATTTACTTTTAATTATTTAAACATATTTTTAGTTCTTTACAAGGCGCCAAACTTAGTTAAATAAGACATTTGATTTTTAACAAATTTCTTTATACATTAGTTATTCTTTCACATTTTGATTGCTTTCGGGCAATATACGTATTAAGTAGTACGTAATACGTATCACGTATCAGATGGATTACGTAATACGTATCTAGTGTTAACAAAAAGTTATTATAAGGCCTTGCTCCAAAGAGAAATATGCAAATTATGAGGAATTTGGACAAAATAAATAATTTGTATTAAATTATTAGTTAATGATGATTTTTTTTTTTTTGAATTGTAAGGTATAAAATTTTTTATATCTTCAATATTTTCAGATTTTTTAAAACCCAATTTAAAAAAAAAAAAGCTCAAAATTGATAATTGAATGGTCAAGAAATGGTACTTCATTTCGAGATTATATCGCATAACTGCAGTACTTGAAACTATGTCATTCACATTCAAAGAGTTAAACCTTTCTTTAATCGTTTATACCTGTGAAATCATGAAACGTTTATATTTTAAGGAATTTTCCAAAATAAAAACTGGTAGACAGTCAGCTTTTTTTCATTTGATATTTCTTTTTCATCAAATTATGTGTTTTGGTAATAGATTAGTTAAAAAAAATTTCCCACAATACTACTACAATTTTTAAATGTTAGAGGATTTTGTTTTCTGAACCTAGATCCAGAGGTTAACTGTTAGAAGGTCTAGCAATACTACTTTTTACTATGAATTTCTTGTTAATTCATAATCAGCTGTTTTATTTTAGCATTTTGGATTAAATGCTAATAAAATATTGAAAAAGCTCTGTAACTAAGTTCTTTCTTTTTCTCCAATGATTATGAATGTAATTTGAAAGGATTTGTTACATGCTTTTAAAATTATTAATAATTGAAATAAAAATTTAATAAAGCAGTTGGTGCCAGAATGTAAGGTATTATATTGGAAGAAAGGGAATGGAAAGACAAATTATTAACACAAGCACTAAACCAAAGAATGTGATAACAGAATAAAAGCATTATACATTATTAAGTATATTATTGATATTATGATGTTGAATATTGTCAGTCACTCAAAGAGATGAATAACATAAATTTCTAGGTAAATAAATTGAGGTTGAAAATAGAATCTGAAGGAAATAATAAAAATTGAGGGGTAATGTGGTCATTTAAGAACTGTGTTAGCACATAACAAATGTGCAACACAGTGAGGTTGACAATCAGAAGATTCATACCATTGGAACTTTGAATAAGGTAGAACAAAATAATCAAATGTTTGGAATAATAAGATCAAATTACTGACATTATTTAAATAGATACAAAGCATTTTAAAATATTACTGATGTTTTCGAGTATCAGAGTGTCAAAGGAAAAAAAAACAAAAGGTACTCACCACAAATTTAAAAGTGTTGAAAAGAAATAAAACTTTACAGAAATAAAAGAACATGGCTCATCACACGTTTTTTTTCTTCTTATTTATAATTGCAAATGAAGATTTTTATTCATATTGCATAAATACTACATACATATACAAACAATAGCTACAAATATACGTACAAATAATATCTTCTATTTTTGGTCATGAAGATTAAGATATTCTTCACTCATTCACATAAAGTATAATGTGGAGTAATATCAGTATAATGTACCCCACATAATAATAAAAAAAAAAACAACAACATTTTTAACAAGACTGGCTTTCTCTAGAAATCGGTAACAAGAGGAAGAGCAATAAATTATCAAATCATGTCAGTTTTGAATAACGCAAATATAAGGAAAATTAGAGAAAGCTTATTTAAACATAGTTTCTTAAGAGACAGATATAATGGACACTTAACTTATTGAAAACTAGGACTTAGAAAAATTAAGAAGTAACAACTATGCCTATCATTAGCTAATTATCAATTATTTAAAAAGCGTTAATGATGAAAGAATTACACACTTTTGTCTTTTTTTTGTTAAGAAAGTAATACCTATCTTAGAGGATCAAAGTGTTGATACATAAAAAAAAGGAATCTATAAGAAGAAAAATTCCTTTGTGTGCTTAATTTCAAATATATATAAAAAAGTTTGTTATAAATATTTTGTGGTAAATACAAATGATTTGCTTAACCAAGACAATTGTGAATCATGCAATTATATTAGTGTCACTATTTACCTAAAAATACTAACTAACCTAAAATACTTTACCTAAAAATACTTATTAACTGTCCTAAAAGGATGAAGGACAACGAGTCATTAAAAATTTTGAAAAATAACTTTCTGCCTTTTATAAATACCTACCAAAGCCCCATTTCCCCTTGAAATAATATAAAAAGTGCTATATGAAAGAAAATTAATGTGTATAATAAGTAGGCCTTTATTATATTAACTACCACTTAATCACAGATCATAAGTAAAAGCTTTATATTAATTATCTGTCATGGTGATTACAGAGTGTATAAATTTGCTTTTCATGACTTTTTATATGGTAAAAGTTATTTGCAAAGTAATTATGTTACTAATTTTAATCGTTTTTAATAAAAGAACTCAATCATGTTCAACCCAAGTCGGATTTGGGAGTGACCCTGGTAAGTTTTATTCGTGTCTTTAAAAGTATATATCAAGGGAAAAAATAATTAAAAAACAAAAAATGACTTTTGCAAATAAGTTTTAAATGAATAAAAAAATTATCTCAGGAATAAAATGTTATGTTAAGGTGAAATTGCTGAAGCAACCAGAACAAAAAGTAATAAAATAATTTTGCTCCTAATAATTATTTGAGGGAAAAATCGAAGGACCACATATTTATTTTGTTATTCTTGGATCAGATTTACTTCACAGCGTTGATTGATAGGTTTATGCAATGAATAATTTTGCCAACCACTTTTTTAACATTGTACAAATTTGTGGCCACATTCCAGCACTGTATGAATCTGTTTGTTTACATAACAAACAGCTTAAAGGCAACAAGATTCCCAGATGATGCTTTAAGTAAATACGTTTCTATCAATGCCAAAATTTGGCAACACTCCATTTTTTATGCAAAATTGCCATTTAACTTTGTAGGCTTCTCTAATTGTCAGAATTTCATAAAAATTTATGTTTCTTCAGAAAAAGTCTGAATAAGCATATAGCCATGGTTACAGTCAACTGTTACACATAATTTAAGAGGATTCTTTGAGCTACCATAGCATATAGCAGATCGAAAATCTGACCAGCAGTTCAAAAGTTATAAGGGTGATACTTTATTTTTTCTAACTGCTTAATAGTTGCTAAATGAATTCAGTTATATTTCTTTACCTCTAAAAAAGTGCTTACTGAATACATATTTTTTCCGCAATAAGATAGTAAGATAAAATAAGATGAAACAACAAACTTTATTTCAAAACATAATTTACGATTTAATTCTATGTTATTATCAATCAAGCTAAAGTGAATACACTATATTAACATATTGATCATCATTGCTCTCTATACTTAACGGATTTTTTTAGAGATATGCTTATTTTCAGGCATAGGCCATCATTTTCACTACTTTATTTTATAAAATTAAAAACATTTTTGTGTTTGTAATCTTAGGATCGGGATAAACTAATGCTTCATGATTCAATTTAAATATGAAAATGGAGCTACTGATTACTAAAAGACATAAAAATACACTCAAACAATTCATCAAGAATTTATTAAACCAGTCTGAAAAGTAGATTCAAAAGCAGATATCAAATCTATATGATTAAATGTATCTGGCTGATTATTGAACTTAGATAATAAAGTACAGATTTTTTCATCTTGACTACCATAATATAGCTGCAACTGATTCACTAAGCACTGAGCTTCATGTGTTTGCTAGAATACAAAACATAGTAAAGCAGTTAAAAAATATAGTTTTTTTTTCCACAAAAACTTTTCATTTCATTCACAAAACATTTGTTCAGGATACAAGGTATTTAAAAAAAAAATTGTCTATTCTTGCCTGGTTTTCTAGGTTCATAAATTATTTTTAATAAAGTATAAAATTCATTTCATAAATATTCAGGATTCCCACTCTTTTATCAAAGTAAAAATTATGGACTTTTAAGGGCTTTTCTTGAAACAATTAAAGAAATTTTTTTGTAAAATTAATTACCTTAAAAATAGTATAATAATTGGTTATCATCAAATATACATATACCCACAGTAACAGTATCTATTATATACCTTTCTTTTCCTTTTTTAAAAAAAATTATTATAATGTAAGTAACTGATATAATTGTATTTATTACCAGGAATCGCCAAAGTGGCATCAGGCGTTTCTCAAAACCAGACAGGTTTTTTGGGAAGCCTATTTCAACAAATCCGCTTTTTTCCAAGTTCAGTTTTTTCAAAATTTATTGTACTGGTTCGATAGGTTTTACTTTAATAGTAAAATAATTGAAAATTATTGTCCTTAGAATAAGACTTCAAAATAATTGAAGATAATTTAACTAGACACATAAATTAAAATGCATTCAACTTGATTTAAGAGCATATGAATATGCCTTTAATTATGATGGAAAAGAGAAATATTTGTTCTACATAAAACATTGGGACTCCTAAAACCTTATTAATACTTTTTAATTTATATGAAATTATAATAATTGCTTTTATTGATAATATTTCCATCACAAGCGTTTAACTTTTGAAATGCACTAACTTTGCATTTTTTGAATACCTAGGCTAATTACAGTGATTTAAATTATAATTAAATCAAACTACTTCATTTATGAAAATTAACAGTTCTTATGAAATGAAATTATTTATGTAGCTTGAAAATGTTATTGAACTCTTAAGATATACTTTATAAGTTAAGTTTACATATAATTATAGAACATAAAAAATTGCTTTTATATCACTTAACTCTTAACAGAATCAATGCCATCATAGAAACAGCATGGCATTTTTACCCACTGCTACGTAAATGGCAGAAAAAATTAACAATTTATTGTTGTCACATTTACTATTAATTTTATTATAAAATTAACCATGTTCCTTTCCTGCAGAAATTCAGGAAGTATATTTCACACCCTCATTGATACATAGAAAACGAACATGATTTAAATCTTTCCAAATCTAATGAAAGGAAGCAATTCTTGACTCTCTTTAGGGAACCTGAAGATGGAAAAAAAATGCTTTGGAGAAGGCAGGAAAAAAATTCAGGATTCTTAAGCATGATGGTTAATTGTTGTCGGAATGAATGGGCACAATTACAAATAGCTAGTTAACATGCTACGCCATACTTCTAATGGAAGGTTAAAATGCCAGAGTAACCTTATAAAAATAACTACAGTAGGGAACCGATTATCCGGAATGATCGGGGCCATCGCTATTCCGGATAACTGATTTTTCTGGCTTTCTGAATCGCTACGAAAAGTCGTTTTTTTTATTGTTAAACCCAACTAAAAAAAAATATTTGGAAATAATTTTAAAAAGAAAAAACGATGAAGTAATACACTAATGATTATTTCCAAAATGAGGGTAAACATCTTTCAAAAATGAAAGAAAAATACTAAAATCTTATGAGGAAAAAATTGTTTTTAAAAAAAATGGTGGGAAAATTTATTGAATTACGTTCCGTTTTTTTGGTTTTCTGATTTCCGGATAACAGGTTCTGCACTGTATTACAAATTCAAAATAGTTGTAAAATAATTGGAGCTTTGAAAAACAGTGTTATATTTTATACGATGTAAAAGTCTTTTGAAAACTGCCTTAATGGAAGAATTTTATTTTTTGTTCATGTAAATTAACAAGAATTAGAAGTTTAGTTCGTAATTAAGTAAGAATCTTATTAAAGTTTATGTGTTTTACTCCCTTACTGTGTTCTAAATCCATTTCAATGAAAACATTATCCTGCAAAATTTTAAACCTAACATAAAGTAAAAAATAATGAATCAATCATAGTGATTCATATGCCAGCAGTAAATGAATGGTACATCAAAATTCTTAAGTACTCAAATCGTAAATCACAAATAGTGATTCCTATCAATGCGATTTACAAATCAAACTGAACAATTTCTATAAGTAACAAATACTGAAGTGTGAATTACTTATTACTTACTCATCAAGGTTAACAATTACCCAATTTAACTATGTGCTCTATATTTTTAAAAAGAGAAATGTAGTAGATAAAAAAAAGTGTTTCATATTTTATAATGAATTATAAATTAAACGTAATTTTTTAATCTCTCAGCATTTAGGTATAAAATTATAAAATATACAATGCACATTGAAAAGGTAAATGATAAAAATCTGTAAAACCCTTGATCATAAGCTGTGTGGATTTAAAGAATTGACTGTAGAAGTCAACTCTTAAACTGACACTTATTAAAAATGCAAAGGAATATATTGCAGAACCAAAAATAAGAGTGTTAATAAATAATATCAATGATTAACAAAAGAGCTTTTAAAATGAATCAATATAAAACAAGGTTACTTACAATGGAATTATCATATTCTCCTCTCATCAAGACAATATCTGCAATGAAATTTTATGATACTTTTCATAAAACTTTCATACCATATTTTATTTTAGTACAATTGCTTTAATTATTCTTTTAAATTTCTGTGCTTTTCATTAATTTACACAAACTAATATTTAAAAAATGGAACAACAAATTTGAATAAAAATGTGATGAGTAATTTCATGCAGAACAATCAATAATAGATTATCTCAGGAAAGAAATCTCTTAAATTCGAATTTCTTTTATACATGAATTTCAAAAATTTTTAACGATTCCATAAGTTTTAGTCTACATGAATTCATCAAAAATTTAATATTAACAAAAAGTATAATTTGTTTTATGGTTAAAAATAACAAAAATTTAGATGCATTTGTGCCAGCATCTTAGCTACATGCAAAGAAATATAGAATTAATATAGTATTTATAGTAAAATTCTAAAGTGAATTTAATTTTTGCTCGAACAAGATTTTCAATATGGTTATTTCAAACTTTAGCTTTTGGTTGCATAAGTAAATTTCGCTTTGGTGGTCTTTTAACACCAAGAATAAAATTTTACATCATGAGAATCACTTTTGCCAAACTATTCCTAACACCATTTATTTTTAACCTTTTCATTTTCTTTTTTCTTAATAAAAATAGACACATTTTAAGCCACAAAAATTTCTTAACAAAATTACAAACAGTGAGTAGTTAAAAATTTAGAAACTCCTCTATTTTTTTGATTTTGCGAGTTGAAATAATATTGTATAAATACATTGGGATTTTAAATACAACATGAAATTCAAGGCACTATCTCCCCAAAAAAGAATGAAATAATAACTTGAATTAACAATGAAATTGGCATAAAAATCATGTGGAAGAGTGATAGTTAAAAAATGATAAAAAACTTATGTCGTAATAATATCCTAGGTAAAATTGAGCGATCTTTAAAATTATGTTAAAAAACATAGCAATAGCTGCAAAAATTAACGTCAAAGAATCCCCTGTAATGTCCGATAAAATCAGCAAGAATAAAGCTTATCAAAAAGTAATTATTGAAAAGCATGATTCAAGACTCACATATTTTAAAAATGTATTAAAATAACTTTCAAAACTATGAGGAAATAGAAAGCAATAACAAATTTGCATGCTTTAATATCATAGCGAAAATACTGAGATTTTTAAAATCATATGAAAGAGCATAGAAATAACTGATAACAATAATTTAAATTTGAAATGAAATAGACACAATAAAGCACATCAAAAAGCGATTATGTGAAAAGTCAAATGAGTGATTCAAAACTCGTCAGTTGTAACATCATATTCAATGTATTAGGATATTTAAAACTACATGAAAATAAGAAGTAAAAATTGTGGAATAAACCATTGAAGCAATGCTTGTATTTAAATTAAAAAAGGTAAAAATCGTTCGATTGGTTGGAAAAGTTAAAAAATGTTTACTCAAATCGAAAATTTAAGTATCATAAAACCGTATAATATGATTTTTAACAGCATGTGAAATTTCGTATTAACAACACCAAGCTACTGAAAAATCACTAAGATTTAAGGGGTAATCTCTGCAAATTGAGCGGATTAAAAAGAGATAAATCAAATGTGAAATTCAAACCTTTTCATATTTTTTAATTTTTGAAAAAAAATAAAATAATTTTGTCACTAGATTCAAATGCTCCTACTACATATGCCACAGTTAATGCAACATACAGTACAGGAATAATTTTATCTATTTTTAATTGGCCAAATTGAAACTATATATTTAATTAATTTTATAAATTTAATTAACTACACATTTAATTTTTGTTAACTCAAAGAAAAAGAATAATGTTAAGGTTTTTTTCTTTTTTTAAAACAAATTTAGCTTTTGTACTGTTCCTGTTTTTGAATACATTCAAAATATGGAAATCTGATTAGTAGATGGAAGACTTGCAACCATAACATTTACTTTAAAATGTAAATATAAAATAGTTACCTTTTTCATTCATTAGCTCAGTAAAATAAGTAACTGTAAGGCATATAGGAGCATTTTCTTTGAAAGTCTGTAAAATAATTTTTGATGTCAAATAAATTCATAAATTCATTAAACATCTTTTGACAAAATAACCTTTTCATAATCACAATTTTCATGAAATGTAGTCATAAAAATAATAAAAAATGCAGGAAATACTTTATTCACTTTTTTAAAGGAGAGAAGTCATAATTTAATGGGGCATTCTCACAGGGATTATATCTACAGGGATTTTATTGAAAAAATAAATGTGAATACAAAATTCTCATGTATGAAACAGAATTTAAAAACGGGATGAATGTGGCTTGATTGCAAAACATATGAAACTTGAGCAGGAAAAAAATTTATGTAGAAGGATACAAATTTATTGACCAAGGTAAAGCTTTGCATTTGGAAAATGATAAATTTTAATAGTTTTCATTAATGAGAAATTGACATATTTCATTTTAGTCTCATGTTATGAACTTTCAATGTTTTCATCTAAAAGTATAAATGAATGGAAATCATCAGGCATATTATTTTAAAAATAAAAATACTTAAAATTTATAATAATGATATGCATAGAGATCTTATCTTTAAGAATAATATTGATATATCACCCCTATGAATAATACTGCATGTGTCATCTTGACAGGAACCATCATTAATACATTCTTAGATAGGACCAAATAAAAAAAAAAAAAGTTTTTTTTTGGGCATGAATATAAGATTGAAACATAATTCGAATATGAATTAACAGGGTTCAAAACAGATTTTCACAATTTTCTTAGTTAAAAAATGGACCAAAGTTTTTTGGAAAAGGGACCCCAAAAGGATTTTAAATTTGTAAATTGTAGTGAAATTGTAACATACATACAAATAATACTTTAAAACTCAATGAAAAAAGGCTAAAACAAAAGACACTGTAAATAAAGAACAAATAATGTACAGAAGAACTGTACTTTGTGCTTCATTCACATTTTTTTTCCACAGTAGCTTAAGTAGCAGAAAGCATACCTGCCAACTTTTATGCTCTTCAAAAAAACTCTTTCCTTGTAGCACTGAAATAATTATTAAAGTGATATTGTTTACAAATACTTCCTTCACTTTTCACCATCACTGAAAACACAAATAATAAGCTGGCCTTATTTATGTATATTTAAACTATTTAAATGTGATGGTAGTTAAAAATATTAAAAGAGGAATCAAGCATAGAGGCAAATGTTTTGCTACCAGATTAAATACAAAAATGAAATCTTTTGGAATAACTGGATGAGTTGCATGTATGAAAAAATATACCTATCCTTTTGGATCATTATACAAAGCCTAAACAGAAGTATTAAGAATAAATAAAAGCTTCTAAATATGAATGTGAATTTTGTGTTTTAAACCCTTCCTTCTTGCTTCTGTGAAAATGAAGGGGTGAGGTTTCGCCCTCAATTTCTCTCTCCTGTGATATTTCCGGGTTGGAGTGTTCAATAGTAATGCACCAATAAGAATAAAACAAATTCATTTCTTTTGCCCGGAAAACATTTTATTTCTCATTTTACACCCCAGATGGCAGTACCAGTATATTTTTGATACCAGGATATTTCAGAAGAGATGAAAACAATAAGAGATGTAGAAAGGAAACTTGGTACTACTGTCCAGATTGTGACGTTGGTTTCTGTATCTCCTGCTTTGAAATTTATCACACAAGAAAAAATTTCTAATCTTTATTTATATATTATACATAAGCTTAATAAAATTCTTTTTTAATGTTTAAAACACATATTTTTAAAATTTTCCTTGCTTGNCTCCTGCTTTGAAATTTATCACACAAGAAAAAATTTCTAATCTTTATTTATACATAAGCTTAATAAAATTCTTTAATGTTTAAAACACATATTTTTAAAATTTTCCTTGCTTGCTGGAAAATTAACATTAAGTCATAGTAACCTTGAATGTTGGCTTTTCCTAAAAATTTAATTTTTTAAACTTTCAAGCTAAAAACAAATCAAAAATGAATATATATATTGTTCACACACATATTTTTATATGATTTTCAGGGATAAAAAAATAGGCACTTTTATGACCGTTTTCAAGAAAACTAACTGATCGTAAAGGGATTAAGAAAATGAAGAATCAGGGTGGCCACTCCATAGAGTAAGAAATAGGAGGAGACGGCATGTTTGTAAATTAGTGAAGTCTTAACTGCAACTGCGGCTCCATATTGGTACAACCAAAACAAATCGAACTTCGTTGAACTAGAGCTGTATGTATTTTAACATTCTTCAAACTGATTAATAGATTTCATTTTAGCAATTAGTCTATTGTTAAAAAAAAAAACCCAGTACGTAATGGGTTCCTGTGTTGCGGTTAATTGCACAAATAGGACATCTAAGAAAATTCCTGGCGTCATTTTTCACAGGTAAGATTTTGTTTTGTAAACTACGATCTTGTTTGTTCAATTTGAGACTTTGCAAAATCATGTATATTTAACAACATTAAGGGTTCATTTATCTTAAATTTTCGTTGCTTACTATTAACTTTTAATGACAAGTGTTTTCGTTTTTTCTTTGAATAAATACTGTATAACATGAAAGTTTTAGTATTTTTCTTTCGACAAAAGATGAAAATTCTCAATCTTTAACCTGTTGCTCAGAAATAGTAATAGAAATGCGGTAATATCATTCTTATATTGCAAAAAAAAAAAATTGCAAAATTAATAATAGCTTTTGAATTGTTTCATGCAAAATTTTATTAATATATGCTCTATCTAACATTCAAAAAGGTTTTCAAATTTGCATCTGAGAAAATGATGTGCATGGAGCAATTTAAATTGTTAACAACATTCAAAATTTCATATTAAGAAAATGCTTTCAACATATTTTACAAATATTAAAGAATTTTTTTCAAAACATGAGTATATATAAGTTATTTAAGATAATATCACATTGAAAGTATCTGTATATGCGTTTCTTCTCACCAAATAAAAAGGAAAATTGTGATTGAAAAAGTAACTGTTCAAAAATTATTTTTCAAATAATATTTTCTTTTGTTAAATAGTTTTTCAGCATTAAAGCTATCTGTTCATAGAATTTTAATTTCCAATGTCAAAGCAGATTTAGAAAAAAAAAAAAAATTTTACATCTGCAATTTTTTTCATATTTTGTTTAATCTGTTACAAAATAAATACACTCAAAACAGCACATCATCAATGAAATATTAATGATTTACCCTATAGTTGATGCTCTCTATATAATGTGTAGAAATATTATGAATGTTTTCAAAAAATGGATATTTACAAAAGATATTTCAAGTTAATAATCTGCTGCATATGCAATATCTTCATATTAAAAATATTGTATATAAAAAAAAATATTGTTTTTGTGAAATAATTATTTCTTGATCAAAAACTGGTGATTTCTTAAAGTATATTCAAATATAAAAAAACTGACTTTTAAAAAATGAGTACAAGATATTTTGTAAAACAATGGGTTAACCTGGAGTTTAGATCTTTCTTAATTGTTTTTACACTGATAGCAATATATATTTTATTCTTTGTTTTCCTATTTAGTTCTCCAAAAGATGAAACAAGACGAGTTTCCTGGATCAATGCATAAATCAGAAAGTGGACTACTTTATCCATCAAATGATGTATTTCATATTTGCAAAGAAATGTGAGATTGCGTTCAGACAAGAGATCCTTCAAACCAATTGTAAAAACTCCAAAATATTGATTATGAAAAATGCTCCTAGTGTTCTTGAAAAAGTTTGTTCTCGTAATTATTTTTCAATTTTAAGTGAACATCAGTTTGATACCGAACCTACTGCCAATCATCTTGTACATCTTATCCGTTCAATTGTGCATTTATACTTTAAAGTTCGTTTAAATTATTAATGTAAAAATTTATCTTTAAACAACGAGTGAAGGCGCCAGTTCTTTAAACATCTTGTTAACTTCAGTGAACAATAAATTTGATACATGGCTATCCTGTTTTTTCTTTTGTGTTTACTAAAATGTTCCAGAAGATATAGTGTGTTTCTTTCAACTATTTTATGTAATTTAAATTAATATATTTATTAAAAGTCATTTAAATTTTTGGTTGTCTTTTTTAACATAATTTCTTTAACATAACTCTCTTTCCTAAAAAGCAGCAAGTAATTATATATTTACTCATTGTATTTTCAAAGTGCTGACATTTGAATCTTGTATTTTGCAGGATTTCGATGTGCCTTGAAAAGGCTTAAGTATTAATTTTATTTTTTAAAGTTCCTTAAAAGCCTTAAAATTTGTTTCATCTGAGCCACCACCTTCCTCTACTAACATCTCAATTGCTGTGTCAAAGCTTTAATTTATTATAGAGCATTCATTATAGATAATAATGCCTGGGCATTTATTATAAAGCATTTATTTGCTCACCACATCATGTATTTTGTGAATGAGATAGAGTATTTCATGAGTAGAGTTTAAACCTCAATTGGAAAATAAATATTCCTATATAAATACTCTGGGTATTTACCTTTAAAAATAAATACACAGTTTTTTTATGTTGCAATTTGTAAATTACAGTTTTGTACACTTCATATGATCAAGTGCTTTGCAAAAAAGAAAAAGAAATTAGACTTCTCTGCTTAGTGATAAACAGTAGGTTATGGACTAGATTTATTACCCAAGTGTTTATTCAAATGGCTTAATGTTGATTATTGCTATTCTTTTAGCACAAACCAATATTTTCCCCTTTAAATATTCTAACTTTAAAGAAAAATGCATTTCATATTATTTTGTTTGTATTCGAAATAGTGTGGTTTTAAAGTGATATTCTTTGAATAAATTTTTATTTGGAAAGCTGCCCTTAAATAACAGTAATATATTATTTTTAATACCTAGATAAAATATAAAAGAACCTAAGTTCCTGAAAACTGCTGTCAAGTTCTTTTTTTAATTCAGTTGTAAAATAGAGCTATCTTAAAACTTTATTTTTTGGGAAGAAGAAAAGAAACTAATGCTGAGAAATTGAATGAAAAAAGGTGTTATGTATTAACAACAAAACTATTTTAATCTCGTTTTCGAAAATTTTCCAATCATAAGAGAAAAGATCAAGAACAACCTGATTCTTCCATTTGAAACCTGAGCGGCTCCGCAAAGTTTCTGGTTATACCAACATGGCCGCCACTCCTTGACAGTTGCTTCACTCGCGCCAATAGGGAAGGGGAGGAATGCCCACTCCTTCTTATTTATAGAAGGAGTGGGCATTCCTCCCCTTCCCTATGGGCTACTCAAATGAGGTTTCGATTTTCCCTAATTTTTCCAGTAAAAATCTTAAAATTTTTAGGTCAGCATGTTTTTTTCTCTGTTAAAGTGCAGTATAGGTACAAGAAAAGTGTCAATATTAGTGTATTAGTCAATATAATAGTGTAGTATTTCAATTAAATGTTATTTTTTTAATATATCATCTTGAATAGATGTGGAGGACACAATATGTTAAGCTTGCAGAAATAACGTTTTTAATGAATAAAAAAATTGTTTAAGTGTTAAATAGTTTTTGCACAAAATGTACCAAATAGCAACCACCCAAAACAACCTTGGATAAGTACTGTATTAATATATTTTTATTAAGCAAAAGAAAATAATTTCAGGTGATTAGAAACCAATTAAATTTTTATATTTATTTACATTTCAATACAGAGCCATTTTATACTGTATTTTATCTAACAGTGCTCTTTATAAAATTCATTGAAATAATTTTCTTTGAACCAATATCATAAGTGAAACATTTAAGTAATGTTGTTCGTTTCGAATAAGCATTATTATTTTTAGAGATATTCAGTATTCGTAAAGGAAACATTGTCAAATTTCTTGTTGCATATTCTATAAGAAAAAAAACTAGAAAAAATTCTTTAAATTTTATTCTTTTTTTTTCAATTAGAAAATATTAAGAATTCCTAGTGTATCCATCTGGTTGCCCAACTTGAAACCTGTTCATGTACAGTGCTGAACAGAAAAACCAAGTTTTGCTTTCCTTCTTTTTAACAAACAAATATAAATAAATAAAAAAATTTCTCATTTAACATGTTTTCCATACATTCCTTGGTTTTTGCCAGCTTTATAGGGTAAAAGGAGAAACAGTTTTGGAAATATCAAAATAAAAGCTATCATGAAATCCAGAAAATCAGCATCAATGCAACAATTTGCTAATAGCGATTAGTTGGCTTTGCTGAGAAAAATAATTCATGAGAGAACACAAGTTTTCAGAAAAAGGGTGCAAGATAAAATCTCGAATTAAATTATAACCAATAATTTTTTGGAGAATTTTATAAAGTTAAAAATACTAATGAATAATTTTGTTAAAAGAAAAAATACCCCTTAAGCATCGGGACTAACTTGAACAATTAATTAATTCAGCCCACGGACTAGAAGAAAATTAAAAAAAAAATTCTACTTTATGAACAGAAGCAAATATTCGAATCCTTTCTTCCACATCCGCCAGATTTTTGCCTTTCCTAAACTGCATAGTGCCATAATCTCCAAAGAGGTCAAAGATTTCTCCATTCATCTCTCCACATGGAAGAGTTTGAAATGGCATTCTAGTTAAACAGGGTAATATTGAAGAGAATTTTAATGCAAGAAAAGTATTGCTGAGTTGATATTTCAACTTTTTCATGATAAAATTATGTTTAAATAAAAGTGGAACCCTGAGAATTTAAATTCAAATCGACAGAAATTCAGAAAAAAAAAACATTCCCTTAAATCCTAAGTAAATTGATGGTATTTTAAAGAATTTTTACTAAAAAATGATAAAGTTTATTCAGTTAATTAAGAATTTTTTTTGGCAAAAATTCTTACAAATATAGTTGCCTTAACAAAACTACCCGTATATATAGTAATTAAATTATTACATACATACAAAATTGCTTTTCCTGCATTTTCTCTATAATTTTTCTTTTTTAAAAAATTTCAGTAACAAATTTTCTAAATGCATTTGGTGAAGAAACAGTATTCATACAAATAGTTAACTTTTATTTATCCAAACTTAAGCAACTACAAGGAACTTAGATAGGGAACAAGGAACTTAGATTTTCCAAGTTTGATGTAGCCACCATATAATTTTTAGCATATCACTTATTCATGAAATACATGGGATAGATCAATTTTATTATAAATACAAGGTGTTTATAAAGTCCCTTACCCATTTTGATGTTTAATAACTCATAAAATAATAAAGATAGATTGAAATTATTAAAAATGGTTAGATAGATTAAAAAAGTTTTATGACCCATGTAAATGAACTTCCACGTGTGCCCCCTTCGTTGCACGGAGAATATCAAGTCGATAGTAAATTTCACGCCAGGTAGTGGCAAGCATGTCGGCATCCACATAGGCTATTGCGGTTGTAATTCTGGCTTTTAGGTCATCAATGTTCAACACGATCCACCTGTAAACATTGTCCTTTATAAATCCCCAAAGAAAAAAGTCCAGTGGCATTATATCAGGTGATCTGGGTGGCCAAGGAATTGGACCTCCTCGCCCAATCCATCTTCCTGGAAAATGGTCATTCAAAGAACTACGAACGATGATACCCCAATGAGGTGGTGCACCATCTTGTTGCAAAAAGACATGTGGCTGAAGCTCTTCTAGTTGTGGAAATACGAAGTTTTCCAACATGTCTAAGTATACGACTGATGAGACCGTCTTTTCTGTAAAAAAAAGGCCTAATGACTCAGTCGTGCATTAGTCCACACCACACATTAACCTTTGGGGAATCCCTTTGTATCTCATGGTATTCATGGGGGTTTTCAGATCCCCATATGCGCACATTATGTCGATTAACAATGCCAAAAACATGAAAGCATGTTTCGTCGGAGAACATTACGCGCTTCAGAAAATCAGCAGCATCTTCTATCCTTCCTACCATATCTGATGCAAACGCCATCCTCCTAGGCCTATCATCCGGTTCCAAACCTTGAACAATTTGAACTTTGTATGTATGCAGTCTTAATTGTTTCTTAATAACCTTGCACACCGTCAAAATTGGCATATCCAATTCTCTTGCCGCTGATCTCACAAATCTTCTAGGATTGCCTAAAAATGTGTGTCTGACACGCTCAACGTCAAAATCACTCGTGCAGAGACGTCCAGAACGTTTCTTATCAGCGATACTTCCAGTTTCTAGAAAATTCTTTTTCCACTGGAAGATGCTGCCTTTGGACTGAGGATCTTTTTGGTAAATTCTTCTGCAATTTCTCTGTGCTTGCACTATCGATTTCGTTTCTATGAACCACTATAAAATCTGTGCTTTCTCTTGTGGTGTATGCATTCTCCTTAATATCCGCTCGAATAAAACATCACATAGAAAAGTACTACATAAAACAAACACATCAAAAGTAAACAAAACATTGTAATGGTTGCCAAAAACAAAAGAAAGAAAAATGCAATTAATAAGCAGACGATATTTAGAAAAGTGCAGATATTTAGACTGGAAAATGAAATTATCTGAAATTAACCACACGAGCACACGATATTTACAAAAGTAAAGATATTCAAACCTGAAAAGGAAAATGTACGAGTTATTCCATCAATAAATGCCATAAGTTTGTTTATATCCTCATTATTTTATGAGTTATTAAACATCAAAATGGGTCTGGAAATTTTTAAACACCCTGTATAATACTCTTTCCTACAGGGGAATTAAATTTTACTCATGCTATTAAAAGTAATGTTGAGTTCCAAAAATATTTTAAGTAAATTATTTTTGATTTTAACCACACATATTTAAAACATATAGTCAATGAAACTTGAGTTTTTACCTAGGCCAAAGAAAAAAAAGATTAACCAACCAAAATCTGCTTAAGTTACTAACTATGATAAAATACAAAATATGTGAATACATGGGGAAATATGCAGCAAAAAGAAAAGTTGACAATAAGGAGTCAAAACTTTGGACTAATTTGACCAAACTATTGGGACCATACTTTGGGGATCAGAAATCCATATTAGTTTTTAAAAAAAGCTATGTTTATTCACAGAAAATATGTTTTTGAGTCTGATTTCATAACTTAAAATATTGTCTGCACAAATTGATTAGCAAATTTGAGATCACCCGCTTAAAATATAAGATTAAGTCCTGGAATGTAAAGTATTTGAACAAAAGTCATTCAGGGTAGATTTTTTTTAACTATACATTACTTTACAGTGAATTTAAGAGCTAAAACACTATTGAGGAAATGACTTAAGTTGTTTTGGTATTTATATTTATATTCACATTGGAAATAAAAAAAAAAGTTTCTCAGGACAGCATAATTTTTAAAATGAAATTGCAATACTAAGGAAGTGACTTTTACATACATGATTCACACTAACTAAACAGTAATTATTATCATAAAAGGTAAAACACTATAACTTACTTGATAATTGATTAAAGATGTAAAGTAACAGCTTTGATCTAGAAATTGACACATTATAAATTCATAGCCATCAGTTCGAGGCAATGGAAATAAAAACTGAAAAACAAATTATATTTCAAAGGAAAATTTCAATTTTCAAAATAATATTACTTTTTTACATACATATTACTCTAAAAGACCTCCTTGCAACAAAACAATAACTTGACAATACTTCAATTAATTAGAAATATTTTTTTTACAAATATACTAGTACATTAAAAAAAATATTATAAGACATATTAACTTAAATGTAGCATAAAACAAAAAAGGAAAAACATTGCCTTAAGTAAAGTTTTACACTAAATTAAGATTTGTTTAAATGTTTGAAAATGATGCACAACAGGTAATTTTTTAATAATTCATTTTATCTCAATAATATCTGTCATTTTATTTTTCTGAAGAGTATCAGTAATTGATTATATATTTCTTTCAGGAATCTTTAAAAAAATTAAAACATTAATTAATAATTAAAATAGGCAACCAATTTTAATTGATTATATACGAATGAATTTCTTTCCATTATTGCTTCAAGAAAAGGTAGCATGTATGCTTTTTGTTCCAAGTGTGCTTGTAACATGTTAATGGCTCATGGAGGCAAGAATGGCATTTTGGGGCAAATAAATGGGAAAAAGCAAAAAATACTATTATTTCAGGGCTAGCATTTATCATATTTCATTTTTTTCATATAATAACCTGCTTTTAAAGTTTCATTTTGTTCCCTTTAAAAAAATAAAATTTTTTTTATCTGCATCAGATCATTTTTATATTTAATTACATTTTTTATACATTTATAATATAATTAATTAAATTTATAATATAATTAATTGAACATATCTAATTTAATAAATAAATAAGATAAAATGTTTCTTTAATTTATTTGTTTTTAAAAGTTTTTTTGTACATTGTTTATTATGATATCCAAGATTTTTCCATATTTCAAAAAGGCAGTTTTTTTTCTAACCCCTTAACTGCCAAGTAAAATTTACGTGATTCACTCCCCAGTGCCACCGTTTTTCGCTCAAGTGCACTTTCTTACGTGGTGATTTAGTGGGGGACGGNATGCACGCGTTGCAATTTTAGAACAGTTTACTTTTACAAGACAAGAAAAAGGAAAGAAAGAGAATACAAAATTTAAATTAAATAATAAAAATACAATATAAAAGATGTTAAAACTTTGATGTTGTAAGATAAATATTGAAACATGGTTGGACACATAAACCAACATCCCATTCATTGCACTGATAGCGGGATTCACGACGAATTTTTTCATGAACAAACAGCACATTTTCGCGATGCATTTGAAGACGTTGATGGAAAGAATAAAAAGCACCAAATACACACGCGAAACGAAAGAGAAAAAAGAATGAACCTGACTTTACTCAAAAAGAGACAAGCAAACGAATAATATATCACTTTTCCATAACATCCTTTTCCCATTCCCCCTCCTCTGAAATTAGTAATACATTTGCAAAGAAAACACTTTCAAGGTCATTTTACTGCATTCTGAAGTAGGGGGGGTTGTTCTATTTATAGCAGCGCAATGAAAAGCATCATACTTCGGGAAAGCGTATATATACGCCTGCGGCAGTTAACGCATCGTCTGGCCGCGACGTATATATACGCCAGTGGCAGTTAAGGGGTTAATAAAAAATCCTATTTTAGGAATAAGAACAGGTATTTTTCCACTATTTTTTTAGAAGTTCTTACAGTTGATTACAAAAAAAAGAACAAAATTAATGAATGCTTATTGTAAATATTATATTTCAATTTTAAGTTAAGACTTTTTTGCAACAACATATTTGATAAAAAATTAGATTCCTTTCACAATTTATGCTCTTTTTTTTGTAAAACGTCTATATTTATAAAATTTTTTATTTAAAATATTTCTTTAGAAGTGTTAAATATATCGTATATCATACTTATTTTACCCCTCCTGAATTCTTGCTGAGGAAACTCCTGAATCTTAATTTTTCCAGGTTGGCCTGCAAAAGTGGATATCAGGATAGAAGAGGGTAATTTTTTTTTCTTAGCAACGATTTTTTAATAATGCTGCTACCCATTAAATTCTGTCCCTTCTCTTTTTTGACATAAATCACTGTTTTTAAAATATTAATAAACTGATTTTTAATCAAAATTATATAATTACATTAGCTATTGACATAATTCAGGAAAGAAAAAAAAATATTTTGGTACAAAAAAAAAATTTATGTTTTGCATTGCAAGTTGCTGAATGTAAGATTTCTATTAATGTTATTGAAAATAAGAAAAGCTAATGATTTGTTTTATGAAGGTAATAAATTTGTTATTTTTTAAGATAAATTTAATTTTCTCAATTATTATTTATTTTTAGCTTTGAATCTAGTAAAATAAAATAATAGAAAGAAATAGATAGAAAAATATTAAACTTACAATAGGAAAATTTTTCAAATTCGAAGAAATTTTTTCAAACAACTTTGCCTGAAAAAAATGTCTATGTTAGTATGAATATCTGATAAAAGAGAAAAAGAGAGCTATTTTCTAAAGTGCTAAAATATACATAAATTCATTCATTGCATTTATATATATGTTTATCACTTGCATTCATTTTTTAACATTCAATGAAGCATTGCAATTTTAGCTAGGTTAATCCCTGTCTGTAGGGGGTATCACTTCACTGCCACTTAGAAAAATAATCCTCAGGAAAAGTAAAAGTTAGAAGGTATGACACTGTAATGTAATATACCAAACAATTTCAGAGCAAGAAAAAGCACACATATGGTTGGGAAGAATGGTGTGGAGAGCAGATACTAGAAATCATCATCATCTGCTTCTTTGATTAAATTTGTAGCAGTGCATTAATCACTGGTTGTCATAAATAACCAGATAGGATAGTTTAGGGACGTAACAAATATTTGGCTCTTCTGCTGAATATTTGGCAGACCAAATTATGAAAGCTTAAATACCCGATCATTTTTAGCAGTTTAGCAGAATAATTTAGAAAAACGAATTTTTAATGTAAATCTTATTACATTTAATCAAGATAATTGTAAAATTATATTTATATCATATTATTATAGATTCACAGTATCTCTTAATAACAGTTACTCTTATTGAGTTAGAAAATTCATTTGCTTATACGAGTTTATTTAAGAATGTCATATAATAAAAAATATTTGCTCTATTTCATGTTTGAACTATAAATTAATATGATTTAAATAATAAACATCTACTTATATACATAATTTTATATAATTTTTAATTACATAAATATATAATACACAAATATATAATTTTTAATGACGTAGAAATAAGACATTATAATTTATAATCAAAAATATATAAGAAATTAGTTTAAGATAGGTTGAAGAAAAATCATTAGTCAAAGGGGACAGACATATGAGGAAAAAAAGAAAAAATTATCCATTCAGGGCGGAAATAAATTTTCAAAAATCAGACAGTTAAAGTAGAGTTACAATTGCCATGAGTTCCTATACATATGAAGCTTATATATAATCACATTACAAACGTCTAAAAAATAATAATATACCTAACATAGAGTTGCAATGGTATAATGGTTCAAACATTGGGCTGTCATTGTAAAAAGTCTTAGTGGCAGATTAAAGTCCACCCATCTGCAGATCTATGGGTAACAAATTGTCTGGGAAGTAAAGGCAACTGGAATATAATGATGACTAGATTACCACTATCATGCTGTTTGTCACAATATAACGAAGCCTTAATTCTTTTGAACCTCCTGACCCACTATGCATTGTTGTTGCAATTCCTTGCTTTTTATATAACACTATATTATAATTGTTTAGACTTGTTTCAAAACTTGAATTGTTAAAAAAATACATCAAGAATGTTGAAATTTTTTAAACACATTAACATCTAAGTTAAACCTCTCAGTAACAGCCCCTTGTGGATCAGGGGGTCATGGAGATTAAGGCATCACAATTGTGTGACCAATCACATGATTGTGGCAATGTAGTCAGCACACCACACAGACTGTGTTTTCTTCCCAGACAAGCAGGAACCCATCAATTTGAAGCTAGGTGGGCTTCGAGCAACCATTGGCAATTGAACTCCAATTCTTCAAAATGACTGACAGTTCAGTATCTTAATCACTGAGTCACTGCAGCTCATCTAACCAAGTTTTAATTGGTTTTTAATAATGATTTATTTCAAATAAAAAATTAATTTACTGACTTTTTAATAAAGTAGCTATTTGGCCAAACAGGGGTGATTATGAGCACAAATTAAAAATCCTGAAAATTTCTTGAGTAAAATCATTAATGACACTTTTCAAAAAAATTAACGTCTTTATAAATCTAAATCATTGATATTTTCAAAACATGAAATTCTAAATAAATTGTATGCAGTATAATTGAAATGAATAATTAAGTTTACCTTTATCTTTAATCACATTTATTATTCTATCAGAAAAAATATTTACAAATGAAAGAGATTCTAAGTATAAATTCTAGTTCTAATATTTTTAAATAAAATATACAGGCATGAAAGTGGACAAAAATAAAAAAAGCTGAACTTTTACAATGCAGGCCACTGGGAGGAGAGGGGGGGGAGTGCTCTACATGATACTGAGATTTATAAAAGCAACTTTTAACTATGCTAAGAGATTTTTATTTAATATTTAAAGTGGCAGAAGCATTTAGACAGTTAACTTTAAATTTTTCTTAAATATAATTTTAAAATTGTGACCACTACAATATTAAAAAAAATTACGCAATTATAGGAAGGCACGACTATTAAATTACTTACTAATGAAAAATATACCACATCTTAACAGTAACTAATTCAAGAGAAAACTTACTTCTGCTACTTTCAAGAATCGCGATATTGGATTTTAAAATCGCGTGAATATGAATCGCGATTTTGGAGTTTAAAATCATGCGAATATGAATCGCGCTGCTGGATTTTAAAAACACGAAAATACAAATTGCGATATTGAATTTTAAAATCGGGTAATTAAGAATCGTGATGCATAATTTTTAGATCACGTGAATACGAATCGCAATGAGTAATTTTTAAGTAGCATACAAATAAGAAAAACTATATCGATATTACAACTGCGTGACAATGAATAGCAATATTGGATTTAAAAATGTGTGAATACGAATCGCGATGTTGGATTTTACACTCGCGAGAATACAAATTGCGATATTGGGTTTTAAAAACGCTTAAATACAAATTGCGATATTGGATTTTTAAATTGAGTGAACAGGAATTGCTGGTACGGCTTTTAAATCGCAACACGTAACTTTTAAATCAGTTAAATACGAAAATCGATGATTGATATTAAAATGGTCTGATTAAAAATCGCGATTTTAGCAGATGCCGGCGCAGTTCCTAGTATTTAAAATACCGAAAATCAGCCAAACAAAAGAAATCAAATATCGGCGGTCGGAAACGAAACGTTTAGACTCCTTTCCACTCTATAGCGGAAGTCGCGGTAATCCGACTATCGTTCAGGAGGCTTGGGTTCTCCAATTGGACTCCCCAAAAATGTTAGTTTTTGGAGCATGGTCGGAAATTTTAAAAATTGGGAGAAAAAAGCAGATTTCCGCTTTTTTGCGGAAGTTTTTCATCCCTGAATATAGAAGAATTTTAATGCATAAATCTGATTGATAATTTCTTGAAGCTTTTAAACCTTGGATTTCCGGAACCTTCCAGATTGCGGTTAGCGAAAAATTCAGAAATCCGTATTTTTTCAGGAGCACAATTATCTCTGGCCAAATTAATATTTACATTTCTAGAGTAACTCTAGTGCAGCGTAATAAAAATAAAGATCGCACACATGATTTTTACTATTATTTTTATAGTTTTTGATTAAATAAATTATAACTTACTTACTTATCCTCTACGTGCCTTGGGCACTTAAGGCCTCCAGCATATCCCTCCAACGCCCCCCTGTCTTTAGCAATAGATCTTGCTTCCTCCCAGCCAGGTATTCCACATTCTTTTAATTTGCCCAAATAAATTATAAACACTGATTTTAAAAATTTTTTTTTTAATCTTTAATTTAAAATTTATGCATACACATTAAAAAATTCTATGAATAATGGAAAACAAATAGGAATTAACACCGTGTTATGATTTTTAGTCAAATTGCTGATAAAGTGAAAAAAGTTTTGTGTCTGTAACCATAAATTTTTTTTCCAGTACTCATTAAAAATTTGGGAAAGCTTATTTCATCTCTATGGCCATCAATGCAGAGACCAGAATCTGAAGCCATATGAGTTTGAACTTAAATTTAACGTTTTAAAAATAAATATTTCAAACTGAGCAATATATAAATATACACATTCATACATGTATATATATGCTTTTTATCTTTCATCCTCCTAAAATCCAAATTATTTCAAATTTACTTAGGAAATTGGATAAGATATCAAAAGTTATTCAGTTTACTTTTCTGAATCTCACATACAAGGGAAACATATATAAAGGTAAAAAAATAATGTATTGTTGTAATTTTATTTTCCAGGGTATAACTTTTGATCTGTAAATCTCTGCTCTTAATTGGGTACTTTAACAAGAGTTGTCACATAATTCAAATTTGTTGATGTTATTCACTTTTTATAACTGGAATGTTTTGTCTATCAGTGTTTCAGATGTATGTAATGAGCTTCAACCTTTGTTTTTCTCAAGCTATGATACTTGTACAAGTACGTAATATCTTTTACATAAAAATATTTTATTTTCGGTATTGAATTATGTGTTGAAAATGTATATTCCTCTGCTTTGATATTAGTTATAATTTTAAAACATTGATGATACTTAACAATTTCAAACATAGACTTTTTACTCACAGGTAAAACTGTATATACTCCATGTTTCAACTTGTGATATTCTTTCCAAATCTATAAAATGACAATATATAAATCACTAAATAAGTATAAATCATATAGATATAAATCACAAATAATGAAAAATCATTTTATTGATAATCATTTTTTACCTACTAAAAAAATTATTTATTCAAAAGCATATAAACTGCAAATAAAGTTTTTGTTACAAATATTTGAATAAAGTTCATATATGAAAATGAAAATAACAAAAAAAGAACTTATTAACATAAAGAAATTAATATTTTTTAAATTACGCTTATTCAGAAAGAAATTGAACTTTAAAATTCTTATATAAAATATAAATATTACAAAGATACGTTTTTTCATTTAATCTACATTTAAATACAACAGCTAAAGGTGCAAATCCTATATATAAGTAAGAATTGTAGGCAGACATTCATTTTGAGAAAGAATGTCAAGAAATGGGCACAGGCAATGCTCTGATTTTTCAACAATGATTTTTATCAATCTTCTTGGATTTTTGTAACTAATGGCATATTTTTTTTTCAGTTCTATCCTCTGGTACATAAAATATAATTTAAGGCACATTTACTTGCTATTGCAGGTGAATACAAAGTCCCATATCCGGACATCCGTTTACTGGAAGGGTCTCTCTTCCAGTCACTTTTTAACAATCAAAATAAACAAAACTTTTGCCTTATCAAAAAATTTTTTTAAAATATTGTTTTACACTTGCCATATGGTAAAAAAAGTATGCAGGGATGAGAATCCTCCACTTTGCTGCTTCTTTATGATTTTAACCAGACTTTCGATTTTAATCAGATTTCTGATATAATATGAAAAAAACCCGGATATCACAGAAACGAAAAAAAAAAAGTTGTATATTTTTTTTCTTAGTCTCACATAAAACGATTATTACCACAAAGAATCCTACACTCAATTTCAGATTGTGCAAAAATTTCACATTTTGAAAAAATAGCTGATTTGAGATGAAATCATCATGACTAAATCAGGTCATAAAGTGATTCTTCAAAAGCGCGATTTGGAATTCGCAGATCTTTATAATATTATATTAAATATCGTTATATTATAATAAAATTTTAAAAACTACATGAAAATTCAAAACTGTTGAAAATGCAATTGACAAAACCATATTGACAATGAAATCATCAGAAATCAAGTGTATCAAGAAGTAATTGTACAAAAGCGAAATTCAAAATTTTCTGTGTATGATAATGTAGCATTAAAAAACTATGAAAATCCACATGGGATTGCGGGTGAATCGTCAATAATTGAGTACAAAATGTGTTATTTGAAGTTTAACAAATGAAATAATATCGCATTAAAAGATTGAGAATTTAAAAACCAAATGAAAATCCATTTTAATATTTACCAAAAAAAAACAACAATCCACTGTGTAATCATCGCTAATCAAGAAATGATTATGAATTTAAATATGTGATTCGGAATTTATGGTATGTTATGGCGACATATTAAAATGTCGAGATTTTAAAAACCATGTGGAAATCTGAAACAAAAGCTGTGGATATAGCGCAGCCACATGGATTTATATGTTGACTGAAATCGACGTTAATTATTGTCTATTTTTTATTAAATAAGGATGTTATGATGTTTACTTTAGAGACCTATTATCTGGAAAAATCTATTCTCCGGACTGGCCAAAGTCCCGACGATGGGACTTTTCAATGTATATATATATAATTACGCATATATATATATTTAAAAAAAGTATTAAAATATTACAAGAATAAACTAAATAAACATATCATATAAAAAAATTCAGCATAGATAGCAAGAGATACAAGGGACAACATATACTCAGTTCTGTTTCATGTAGCTGCAAATCAAATGTAAATTTTAGTCATACTAGGAAACATTTATTTTCAGTAAGTATAAATGTATTATGAAATGCTGTTCTCGTAATATTAAAGAAGAAATTTTTTATTCTGATAAAGTAATATTTTCAAAATGTTAAATCATTTTTTGCTCTTTATATATATATATACATTATTTTAAGATTAGCAGAATGTTTTTATAAATGTCTTGATAGGGCAAAAATNTATCTGGAAAAATCTATTCTCCAGACTGGCCAAAGTCCCGACGATGGGACTTTTCAATGTATATATATAATTACGCATACATATATTTAAAAAAAGTATTAAAATATTACAAGAATAAACTAAATAAACATATCACATAAAAAAATTCAGCATAGATAGCAAGAGATACAAGCGACAACATATACTCAGTTCTATTTTATGTAGCTGCAAATCAAATGTAAATTTTAGCTATACTAGGAAACATTTATTTTCAGTAAGTATAAATGTATTATGAAATGCTGTTCTCGTAATATTAAAGAAGAAATTTTTTATTTTGATAAAGTAATATTTTCTAAATGTTAAATCATCTTTTGCTCTTTATATATATATATACACATTATTTTAAGATTAGCAAAATGTTTTTATAAATATGTCTTGATAGGGCAAAAATAACTTTTTTTAGATAGCTAGTCATTGATAGGAATTGATCCAGCATCAGAAAATATCTTTCAGAAATAGTATGAATTTCTTTGGAATAATGGTGAACTTTTAGGCATATGAAATTCAAATTAATTAATTTTCCATGATTTTTTGGGGATATTTCTATTGAATTCTCCGATTTTTTAAAGTTGTTTTTATTTTGTGGCCACCCGATGCCTGTAGAAACAGCAAAAAGGATGTATTTCATTATAGTGCTATGGTATATGGAAAACAGTTAAATGGATTATTTTTTTGAATTGGTCTCATTTTTTAAAAATAATAAATATACTATAAATATTATTACAATATTTAATAACTAAAATAAAAATAACTTATATCTGAAAATAGGTAAGAAACAATTTTTTTTTTAAACCAGTGATTATTGTAACTTGCAACAAATTTTTTGAAATTGACATGCTTAATTTTTCTTTTTCATTTTTCACTTGAAATAATGTGTAAAAATAACTTCAATAAAAAATGACAGTAACAAATTTTTTCCAATTGACTTTTTCCTGAATAACACAATTACTTTTTATGTTTTAATGTTCTAAGTTAAAAAATGTTTTTTTTCATAATTCTAGATGGAAAAAAAACTTTGCAAAGACTGATATCCAGAATCATCAGGACTTCAGCAAGTACGGAAAATGAGCAAAAATCTAAGCATATGTTATTTAATAAAAAAAAAACAATGAATGATGATTAACATCAATATTTATACAATAAAATTTTTTTACTACTCAAATGATATTTAATTAACTAAAGAATATTCAGAAATAAAGGTCACTATTATTAAAATATTTACGTTAAAATACTACAAAAAAGAAATTAAGCAGACAATAAATTGCACTTTCTAATTTTTTAAGACGCATTTTTGTCATCTTTCTCTTTTTTCCTTTAATGAGAAGAACTAACAGTGCAGATATTCAGATTAATTTAAACAAAAACAAGACCTGTCTGCAGGCATTTCTTTCAAACATTATAAATATTCAGCTTCATTACTATTTACAGCTCATTCCTCTCACTGAAGTTTGTTTTTCATTAACGGTTCTTATCTTCTCAACAATTCTTTAAATGTGTTTACTAGAGCAGTATAAATGTTAAGCGATCCTTAATGCTAACCTATTCTTAAGTAAGATGTAAAAAAAAATTTTTTATATGTAATATTTAGGAACAGATTGTAAATGGAAAAAAAAGGATGAGATTTGTTTATTTGTTAGTTGAAAAGTGGCCGGAAAACAGACATTTTCAGTAAACGGTTGCACACATGCAGCACTTCGTACATATTAAATATAATGTGTACAAAGTGTTGCAAATCTATTACAAAAATCAACTACAAAAAGAGCTTTTCAAACATCTTGTTAATTTTTATTAAAACTCACACCAAAAATGTACATCCTTTCATGTATTTACAAATCTGTGATTAGATTCAGCAGATTCTAAAGTTTTGAACAGCAGTGCTTAGAATTTTCAGAATTTAAAATTGATAGTTAAAAATATGTAATACAATTAGTATTTCAAAATGAAAATCACATGCAGTTGAATTCGATAGCTTTAAAATTATTAGTAGCATTTAAATAAAACACATACGAAAATTAAAGTACTGAAATGAAAACTGTTTTTTTAAAATACTGCGTCAAAGAACAGTGTCAATATTTTTCCTAAAAAAAAAAAAAAAAAAGAATAANAAAAAAAAAAAATTAAGTACCTCATTCAAAATACCTTACGTAAGAACATTTCTAAACAATTCAAACTAATCCATTATACAAAACTGAGGACAACTTAAGTATAAGTTTTGAGAGGAAAATATGGGGAAGAGCAAATTTTAATTTTAAGAATGATGAAATAAATTTAAAAGTAGATAAAGTAAATATAAAAGTAGATAATGCTATAAAATTATTTAATATTGTTTAGCTATACATTGTTTAAAATAAACATTGTTTAATAATAATAAAAATAACTCAGCTAAAAATATATCTTCATTAATAAGAATATTTTCAGTTTTTTTTAAAGTAATCACAACCAAATTGTTAAAAATATCAATTCACTAATTGTGAATAAATAAGATAAAATGATTTAAGGTATAAAAAGTAGGAATTACAGATTCAATTTCTTGAGCAGACTTTTCTTTAATTGCATCTAACTTCATTATCAGGTTAAGGTCCTAAAAGAATAAAAAAGAAACAAAATCATATATTAATATTTATAAATAAATATATAGCTAATGTTAAAGTTTTTTGATTATTACTTTGTTGGTTAAATAGCAGTTCCCCTCACTAAATTATCTGCAGATATTTCTTGTCTAACTAGCTATAATAGTAGTGATTGAGACACAAAGTGAAAAACTCTCTATGCTTTATGTGCAAAAACTCAGTATCAATTTATGTATCATACATGTCTAATATAATTTCTTGTGCTTAGATTTATAATTAAATTACATACCAATAAAAAATATCACGCTTTTATAGAAACTAATTTAAGAAAAAAAATTTTTTTTTTCATAGAACAGTGGAAACTTGATAAAAATATCAGAAGGTGGATAAAAATCATAAAAAAAAGAGGAAGATTCTCATTCTTGTATTAGTTACAAAAAACTTAGTTTACAATAATTTAAGGGATATTTTGTAAATTTCGATAATGAATTTTAAAAATGCATGAATATGAATCACATTGTATAACTTTTAAAATAGGTAAATACAAAAATCAATGTTTGTTATAAAAATAGTGGGAATATGAATTGCAATATTGGTAGATTCTGGCGTAGTTTCAAGATATCGAAAATCTGCCAAACCAAAATTCCAGAAATTGGCAGAAAAATCACTGTTACGTAAATGTTTTAACAGGATTTAGTGACAGTTAAAATTACACATTGCGGAACTGCGTGAAAAATTCTTTGGGTAATAAGTTTTTGATTCAGGAAAGTCTGTGAACAAATGGTCTTGGAATAAGCAAAATTCACGGAAAATCACGTCTTGCTTCTCGTTTTTAGACCTGGAAAGATGGTTCCCCCAGAATACAATCACTCCTACTATAATTACTTTCTACAGGAGGTATCATCTAGGTATTAATTTTTATTTACGTGCAAAAAAGGGAAATAAATGGGAAAAAGGTATTGATTCGTGTAAGGGGACCATAAAAAATCACCATACTATTATTAACATTAATTATGTTTAATTAACTTTGATAATTAGCACTGCTGGTAATAAAGAAACTGATGCTACTTTTAATAGGTACTAAATATACTTATATCGGACTCTATTGCAAGCACTGGGATAATAGGTATTTTACTGTGCACTGAAAGGGATAAGTACAGGAAAAAAATTGCTTAATTGTGAAAAATTTGGATTATCATGGAGTTGACCTCAAAGAACAGCATATGCCAAATGATTCTGATTACACCCAATCTCTAATGAACTTCTAAAAGGTGTTTTGATCAATCTAATAATAACGTAAAGCCACTGGAAAGGGCAATAAATAAAAAAAAATTGGAAGTATTTTAACGTTAATAATTTTGTTGGTATAAGTCTTTTAATTTTGTGCACAATTTCACAGAGTTCATCAGAGCTTTGGAGTTGGTAGTTGAAATGCCCGAAGCTAACTTTGTTTCCAGACTTTTTATAAATAACAAATTAATTAAGTAGATTTATATAAGGTTTTCTCCTAGAGGAAGGAGAAAGCTAGGATTTGTTAACAAAAGAGTTAACAAATCTTAAGTCAAAAAAATATGAAAGATTATTTTAATTAAAAAAAAAATATATACCTTTTTCTATGGTTTTGCTTGAAAAATAAGAAATAAAATACTGTGGGTAACTTATGCAAATCGCATTGATATAGTTTAAGTTAATTTTCCAAGAACTATATTCACTTTATGTAAATTTAATCTTAAAATGCGTTGTAAAAATTTCTTATAAAATTTCTAAAGAAAGCTGATGAAAAGTCGGCTTTCACATAACAATAATAACATGAAATAAATTACTGCTAACAAAAATAATAATTGATCCAATAACAAAAATAGCACCATTTGTGAAATGGGATAAGCAAGTTTAGACTTTGTTCACTCCTCTCCTTTTTTAGTAATACTAAAGAATTTTCCGAAATGGTGAAATTTTTTTCCAGGAACTGCATTTGGGTACATGATACATATATGCAAGAAGGTATGGAAGATGTTGGTTAACACAGTGCCAAGCATGCAGACTTTCGAATTTGAATTTTAGATCACCGTTTAAATATATAATTATTAGTACATTTTAATATCTTTTGGTTTATCAGGAATAATGATTCAATTCTATAAAGCATTCATGATTTTTTTTTTTGATCAATATTACTTTGAAATATTATCACATTCCATGTGCACAACTACTAATTTTTATTTTAGTACAATAAATGGTACAAAAGTTTTGCCTCATCAATTGGTATTCTTTCTATTATTTAATTCTATTTAGATGTATCTAAACAAATTTCTTTTTCTTAGAGAATCTTAAATGCAACTCGCTACTATACGAACTTATTGAATTAAATCTATCATGTGCCTTAATTATGCATTTAATAGTTTATTTGTTTTTTAATCTCCATATAAGATGTGGTAAAATAAATTATGTTTTGAAGAACAATTTTAATTAATTTCTGGCATAGATTAATATTTGATCGAAGTTAATGATTCTGTCACTGATTTGAATAAATATTAATAGCCTTAATTTTGTAAAGTTAAATATTTTAGCAGAACCCAAAATTAAATATTTGTAATCTTCGATTTACTTTATTTCATGGAGGAAATAAAAGAGCATTAAACACTTGGCAAATTTGAAAATATTTTATGAATTCCCAGTATTTCTTAAAGTAAACATTTGCTGCTAAGAAGGGCATAAAATGTTGAAGGTAAAAAGAACAAATTTGACTATTTTTTGACTCAATAGAGAAAAAAATTCTAATTAAATAGAAAGATAAAACTACTCTATAGGCTGACTAAGTCCTTATTTTGCTCAGATTTTAATCTTTAAAACAAATTGATTTTACTTACTTTTTCCTTTTGAAAATTACTTTTTCCATTTGATTTTTTGTTGTCAGCATGTTTTGTTTCCCAATTATATTTTGAACTTGAAGGTTTAACATTAGCAAGATTATGAACCTCTCCAGAAAGAAATTTAGAATCCTTCTTTGCTTTCCTAGCAGCAATAAATAAGAATGAATATTTTTTTTAAAAATCTGTATAATGAGGTTCTAATATAAATTTTCTCATAGATAGAAAATATTACAATAAGGTACAGAAAAAGACAAAATAATCATTCCAAAATATACATACATATACATGAAAGAAGTAGAGGACAAATTGAATTGATGAGAGTAAGAATGATATCAATAAAAAAATAAGGAAATGTGTTTAGAATTTTGCTTGCATATGAGTTTTTTTCCATAATTTAACTGATTTGATACATAAGGTGGTAATTGTACTTCAACTAATTTCGTTTACTATTTTTTTCTTATAGTGGCCAATTTTCCTGAAAATGAGGATGTAGTCTATTGAATTCTTTTGAAATACTAGTTATGTACTACACATTTAATTTTTTGATATGTACCTACTCTTCTCTCAGTGATTTTATGATGGCTATTTTGAAATTAAGACATATTCTCAATATCTCTTTTTTAGATCATTTAAGATATTTAAAAAGACATTTAAAAATATGCAGATTTAGCATCAGGGAATGTAACTACAGAATTTTTGAATGTATGGGATGATGTATTAATTTACTAAAGTATGAACAGTATTTTCCGTAAGATAAGCCGTGGTTCAATTGTCACAATGTGTGGTCTATGTGGAGAATTCATTTCCTCCAAGCAAAAGCGTGATCATTTTGCAATCAAAGCGGATTTATTCAAAAACAGATTTTCACAGACAATTTTCCGAGATTACGAACCTATTTAGTGATGTTTTTTGTAAATACGGAGGTGCAGTGCATCTACCGGAAATTACTGTGTCAATACTAAACTCCTTGTTCAAACACGCTATGAGCTGCATGGGTTTAAAAGTGTTTAACTTGATTAAAAGTTTCACTTGGTTAGTCTTTATTGATTACAAACAGATAACTTTTTTTAGCAGAGAATCAGGAACAGTTAGAATAGAATAGAGAATAGTAAGGAATGCGAATGGTAAAGACAGAAGATGATAATTTAAATAAACTTAGCATACACTATACAAAATTAAACTAAAGGTTATAATTTCATTGCATAGTAATGATTAGTATTCCTAAAATTTTAATATAGTGACTCACAGAGTATAATTTATTTATTTTTTAATTATAAAATTGAATTATGTATTTCTTTCTGGAAAAAAAGAAATAAAATTTTAAATATCAGCATTTTTATCAAACTGAAAAATATTAGACATTCATGCTGAGAAAATAAATCTGAATGCTATATACTTAAATGGAAACTTTGGATATAACTATTAGAAAAGGGACAACTTCGTAATAAATATGCGAAATGATTCCAATTTCTTTTATTTTGCTAGATTATTATTTTTGCTTTAGATAAGCTTTCAGTCGCATCATATTCTAAATTTTGATTGCTTAAAAATTCAGATGAAGATCACTAAGTATTTAATGAAAAATGCGCATTTAAATTTTTATTTCAGGGGATGAGACACTCGAGAAAGGGGACCATTTCTGATGCTTAAAACAAATATATTGAGGGGAAAATCCACATTCCTGGCTTGATTTACATGCATTAAGAAAGAGAAATCAAAAACCATGGTTTCAGGAATGCTTATAAAAAATTTGAAAGGTGCAGGAGTTTATTTGAAAACAGACACACACACATATATATATACTGATAGATTGTTTGAATTTGCATACTTTTTAGCTTCTATTATTTTGGCTGCATACTTTTCCAGGTATGGATTTTTTACAGAGCTTTGTGTACAAAATGAATTTTGAGAAAAACTTTGAAGAATATCAACAGGTCTAAAAGTGTTCATATATAAATACTGGGAAAGTTTAACGCTATTAAGTTTAAAATTTGGAATGTTCATACTTTTTCTAGCAAGGTCGGACTGCTGATGGTTTCAAGATTGCAGAGTTACGATAAGCTCTGTGTATACGCTTATAGCTCTGTATTTCCAATTCAGACGCTTTCAGTTGAGGCCAGGTAAACCGCAAAAAGTTGCTCAAAAAATCAGAAGTAGTTGTGGTTTAGAAGAATTTGTTGAGTGATTGGAGGTCCCGTAGTGGACTGATCGTTAAAACGCTGTTCCCAGCAGATCACCGAAGTCAAGCATCACTGACTGCCGTCAGTGTGCGAGTGGGTGACCACTTGGATTAGTCAGCGTAGAGACCATAGATGTGCAGTATGGGTCCTCGTTAAACTGTTCTACCGTAAAGCGCTCGACTTCGAGTGCAATCGGTCTACCGAAGCGGGGGGTGCCATCCCTTCTGCAGAGGATCAAAATTGTGATGGCATGTCTTCCTCAGGGATGTTTCCCAGACAGTAGCCAACCCAGATAGCAATTTAAGTTTTTCTTCACCCAACAAAAACCTTCTCATGTAAACCTAAAAAGGGTTTTTTACACGGTTTGCGTGTAAGCCTTCTAACCTTAAAACGAGGTCTGCGACAATCTGCTCTATTTTACGCACATTACCCTAATCCAAAACCTTGGAAAACAACCTTCTACCTAACAACCTTAAAACGAGGTTGTCTTAGGGTTTTCAAGTGAAAAAAAAACCTTGAATAACTGTAGTTCTAAGATGAAAATCATCCTAAATCTACATAATTATAAGGTTTCCGCTTGCAGCGTTTCGTATGCTCAGCTAAAATCTACCTTGTAATGAGATTTTCATTGACAATGCAATTTAATACTATTGCTAGTGTACGTCAGCTAAAACGTCATTCTGAACGTGATGTCATCTCTCCCACTATTGTGTGACGGCGCATTTCATTATTCGTTTTATATTTTACTTCTTATAGCTTCTCAATCCGAGAAAAATTCTCCTTTCCATCTATTTTGCTTGATTATTTTGGGGAAAACAGTCATTTTTTATCAGTCTGACTTACTTTGCTGTAAGAACTTAGAGATTTACAAGTTAAAATATCGTTTAATATGAAATTTTTTTATTTGACGATTTGATTAATGAAAACACAAAATAAATAGAACATATGTAATACTTAAAGAGGGTCTGCATATTTTCGTCTTTTTTATTCGGAAATTTATGCGGTGTGAGAAGTTTTGATGAGTGCAAAAATGTTCAGTTTTTTGTATGTCAAAGAAAATTAACATGAAATATCTTCTTTTGTCAAAATAAATAAAATGCAACTGATTATTTATCTCTTACTTAATATGTATGATATGATATATGTAGGAAACTTAATGATAACAAAATATTTTTCTGAAAGAAATCGTTTAATGAATGCAGAAGCTCCAAACATATTTTTTTAACGCACAACAACAAATAAATATTATGATTACCATAACAATTAGTATATGACAAGTGTATTAGTACAAATCAGATATGCCATAATTATATTAGGTATTTTGTTATATAAAAATATTATCTGTATAATAACCATTAGTGAATAATACAACGCAGATACACCATAATTAAATCAACTATTTCGTCAATATATAAACAAATGATATTATAGGTATAATAACCACCAGTGAATATACAACATATTTAACATGAAGGAATTAGCGAAACAATCCTCATTAAAATAAATTACTTCCTCGTCAGATATTCTCCTTTCTCTGAAAAATAAGAGGAAATTTTTGTGAGCATACTTGCGTATATTGAATGAAATTTTATGCATATACACATGAATTGTATGTACGTACATAGACACAAACGTATATTGTACCTACAGGAATGCATGCATACATTATTTGTATACAGGTGCATATACACGTATAAATAAAAATGCATGCATACACACGTATAAGTAAAAATACATGCATACACACGCAGTATATAATTATATTTATGTGGTCACTTTAAATATCGTTGTATGAATAACANTTGAATTTGCATACTTTTTAGCTTCTATTATTTTGGCTGCATACTTCTCCAGGTATGGATTTTTTACAGAGCTTTGTGTACAAAATAAATTTTGAGAAAAACTTTGAAGCATATCAACAGGTCTAAAAGTGTTCATATATAAATACTGGGAAAGTTTAACACTATTAAGTTTAAAATTTGGAATGTTCATACTTGAGTATAGTTAAGTGCGGCAAGCTCTCTGCTTATCGCTTATAGCTTACCCTGCCCTGCGTTTATGTTCATACTTTTTCTAAGCAAGGTCGGACTGATGATGGTTTCCCAGATTGCAGAGTATTACGATAAGCTCTGTGTATACGCTTATAGCTCTGTCTTTCCAATTTAGACGCTTTCAGTTGAGGCCAGGTAAACCGCAAAAAGTTGCACAAAAAATCAGAAGTAGTTGTGGTTTAGAAGAATTTGTTGAGTGATTTGAGGTCCCGTAGTGGACTGATCTGATCGTTAAAATGCTGTTCACAGCAGATCACCGAAGTCAAGCATCACTGACTGCGGTCAGTGTGCGGGTGGGTGACCACTTGGATTAGTCAGCGTAGAGACCAAGGGTGTGCAGTATGGGTCCTCGTTAAACTGTTCTACCGTAAAGTGCTCGACCTCGAGTGCAGGTAGTCGGGCTACCGAAGCGGGGATGCCATCCCTTCTGCAGAGGATCAAAATTGTGATGGCATGTCTTACTCAGGGATGTTTCCCAGACAGTAGCCAATAACCCATTGTGCAGCTCTAGTGCGACGTAAAAGAACTACAACTACAACAACTGAGTGATTTGAGCTTGGTGCGAGGATTGAGAGACAAATTCACGATATTGCCAAATGCTAAGTTCTAAAGAGATAAGGATTAACAGGCAGAGATCTTTAAGAGCAATCTGGTATGAGGCAAGGCGAACAGACCCTGGTCAGAAATGGAGTGGGCAAAACCTCCTACACAGTGCAGTAATGGGATTGCGCTTGTGAATAGACATTGATTTGCAGTCAGTCCGTGCTCGAATACGCCACCTGGGGAGAAGAACGGTTCCATGCTTTTGGCCCTTCTCCCTTCCCTCTCCTTCTATTTACATATAGATATAAAGGCAGAAAGATCAATCTCTCGACCAAACGGACGTCACGGTGAACGTTGACATCACTGGTCTAGTAACTAGTTTGTACTCTATATATATCCACGCCCTCTAGTGAACTGCGGTGCTTGTTTATTGCAGCTGTACATAATTTGTTCTTTTTTAATTTGATTTTTATAAGTTGTAATGATTAATAATAATTGATAACATTCAGTCTCTTTGCCAGAAAAATATGTAATTCGCAAATTTTATGACACATTTTTTTTCCAGATTTTTATAAAAATTTATAATTCGTAAATTCTAAACTTAAAAAAAAAAGAAAAAAAAATTATGTTATTCAAATTTATATCCTTATATCATTCTGAAATTCAAATATTTCAAATAAAATAAAACACAATTCATGCATTTACAAAAAATTAGTAAATAAATAACATAAAGAACATTTTAGTAAACATTCCAAGCTAGTCAAAACATTATATTTCATATAAAGCACAAGAAATTGGAAAATGATAATAATTGCTGAGATATAGTCTCATTATTGCCTGTTAGCGTACAATTAGTTTGCTAGTAAAACGCTTTCTTGGTTTTCATTTGCGTGTAATGGAAATTCTAATTATTTTCATTCAAAAAGTGTTTCAAAATATGATTTTACTCCTCTATTTCAATTACAAGGCACTTTGATATATGGGTCGTATTAAAAGTTAAAAATATAAGAAAGCGTTTCACAACATCCACTAAGATGACAAATTGTCTGTCAAGGATGATAAAAGAAATTAATGGTTAAAAAAACAATTCATTGCGATAATGAACATTTAGCTGTAATGCAATTATTGTTCAGCAATCTAAAAGACATTTTCGTGGTTTTCCTTTGCATTTAACGCAACATTCGATGTGTCTAAATTTTAATTTAATTTTAAATAATATATAGGTTACTACAAAAGCTTTTATAAACATGTTTTTACTCTGATATTTAAATAGCAAGTTACTTTGATTTCTGGGTCGTGTTAAAAGTTAAAAATATAAGAAAAGTATTCACGACATCCACTTAGATGACAAATTATTTGTCAAGGATGATAAAAAAATTAATGGTTAAAAATTTTTTTCATTGTGATAATGAACATTTAGCTGTAATGTCATCATTGTTCAGTTATCTAAAAGTCTTTTTCGTGGTTTTCCTATGCATTTAACGCAACATTTGATTATTTTAATTTCAACTTAATCTTGGTTAAAATAAATTATTTTAATAACTTTTATAAACATTTGTTTACACCGATATTTAAATTGCACGCTACTTTGATTTTTGGAAAGAGTTTAAAATTACAAAAAAAATGAAGAGCATCTCGCTAATCACCGAAATAATTGACTGTCTGTCAAAGACGCTACAAAAATAATTTATTACATAAAAAAAATTCATTACGATTACTGAGCATTTCGCTGGAACTCTTTAAGCGTCAAGCAATCTGAATGATATTTTTGTGGTTTCCCTTTACGTGTAACGCAAAATATGATTGTTTTCTATAAAAAAAACATTCATAAAGGCAGCTATGTTTAAATATTTACATAAATTATGAGTTATTTTATCTTTATTCCTTGTTAAATCAAAACAAAATGAAGAGCATTTGATTGTGGGCAATTAATTAGCAAGGTAGATAGTCTTACGCGGACATTAAGAAATGAATTGGGAGATTTTGATAGGGATATATATATTATAATAATTTGAATAATTATTCGTGCAAAGAAATTAATAAAGATCGGAAATTGAAAGAAACAATCGAATTCAAAATAGTATAGAATGCGAATAATAGTAAACTTATAAAATTCAAAAGGCTTTAGTTTTGAACTCGTTCTGTTAAATCAAATTTTTAAATATAAAAAAATGCTAATATAAGCATCTATACTTCAGTTATAATAGAACCAGACGCTTCAAACTAATAACTATGGTTGAATAAGTAAATATCCTTCATTCGGTTTTAATTAACCCAAATTCTGAAAACCGAAACTAAACAAAACCGCAACTATAGTATATAATTGCTCGTAATCTGAATGATCTCTGGTTTTAAAACTTCAA